AATCTCACTAGCAGTATTTACCTTTTTTGTTTTACCAAAAACTAAAGTTAAAAAAGAAAAATCATTTATGTGAATTTGATAGTCATTAGATGTAAATAGACATCAAGAAAAACATCAAAAACAATGTATGCCCTTTATGTCAACATATTAACTTCCACCAGAAGAACCACTCCAACTCACAGTTAGCAGAATTAGACAGTTTGCAGTCCCTACTAAGTGCCTGTTTGACATCAAGTTTGACAGGTTACCCATGTGTGTGTGTGTGTGTGTGTGTGTGTGTGTGTGTGTGTGTGTGTGTGTGTGTGTGTGTGTGTGTGTGTGTGTGTGTGTGTGTGTGTGTGTGTGTTGAACGACTGTAGGTGTTGACACAAGCGTTCAGATCAGACATGGAAGAGGAATCTGAGGCCGGCGTTGAAAGCACTCTTTGACGGTGTAGCTATAGCTGACAGATACATTGTTTTTTCCCAAAGTAAAACAGTAAGTGACGTGAGAACAAAGACGTGTTTTTAGTAGCCCATGGCATTGGAAACATCTATAAAACTGGATCTGAAATGGCCGTGGAAAACCCCCACAGCCGCCCCTTAGCCACGCTCGTTATTGTCGGTGTGTAAAGGTGTCTTTTTTTGGTCAAGTTTTACGGTTTTCTTGCCATTTTCCATTTTTTCCTGAAATGAAGAATGGGCAGCAAGGTATTGCATTCTGAGGGTGTTTCCCTTTGGAAGGACTTTTTTTTTTTGGATTCGTTGTCCATCGATCTAGGACCTAGACCAAGAGGACAGCAGTATTATTATTCTGTTGAAATGTGTCAACGTGTTCTCAAAACACCAAGGAGAATGGTCAACATCAAAGTTTTCTATAAGAAAGTATATAATCATCTAGATATCTACACAAACACACAAATATATATTCATATATATGTATATACCTTTTTATAATATGGCTATTGAAAAAAGTTGTAATTACATCAGTAATCATTTAATAATAAACCGCATTGGATTGGAAAGGAGTTGAAACAGCAATAATAAAAGCTAGTGGTAGCTTCGTCTTCCCCTACCGATTGATTTTAAGGCTTGCCAGGATGAAAAATGGGTTCTCCAACGTCATTAACCTCTAGAAAATCGAGGCACCCTAACTGGCACGGCGGCAGACACTGTAGAAACCCAACCACTGACTCTCAGTTTCAAGAGATCCTCGACATACAAATGTTGGATTATATGAAGAAACTAAGATCTCCCAAGAGGCCAAACTAGAGCTAGCTTTGTCACGTGGAAGGGTTAGCAAGAGATGCTAACGAAAGCCTTTTAAGTTTCGCCCGTTAGCAAAAGAGAAGCAAATGTCTTCTCCTATAAACACCCCTGACTTCCACTCTATGTTTTATGTCTATGCAACATTCCCAAATGTGCCGAATCCGACTGCTTTTATGCTTTACTCCTAAAACACAACACGTCCCAGCTAGTTGGACCAAGCGTTCTGTAAGTTATATTTCCTTGTGGTATACAGTATCATTTAAACTGGGATTTCTACAGTGTCTACCTTATCGGTATCAACTAATGTGAAACTAGAACCGGGTCAAACCAGCGACGACTTGCTTTTGTCTCCTTTCCCATCCCCCCACATTCCTCCACCAGTCATACATGTTTAGTTATTGGCTGTTCCTGTAGTACAGGTGTTCAACACACCTTTGCACCATCGAAGGTGATAGCAGTTACAATGGCTTCCTTTCAACGAAAATAAAAACTGTGAAGATATTTCACCACTTGGGACGTTATTTGTGCAAGAGTATATGGTACGATTTGTTTTGTATATGTGTTCACAACTACCCCCTTTCTTCCAGTAGTTTTTATGTGTTTTTTGTGTTTAACAGCAGTCTACATACAGTACAGTAGTCTATTGGATCTGTCGCTCAACAACCAACCTATATATTATTATTACCTCAGTGTCTCGGAAAGGCTGTCTTAAAGATAAGATTATTATGTATTGCATTTCAAATTGCTCTTTAAGAAAACATTAAAAAAAAACATTAAAAAATATTGAGTCATTTCATAAACAGCAAAGAAACCTTTTAGTGTGATAGTCTAAAGGGATGTCTTTTACAACAGTGTGAACTTATCTCAATTCCCTTCATGTCCTCCCTGTACTGACTGTCTGATTAGCTATCAACTATAACCGCCACTTCAAAATAAAAAAACACACAATACAATTTATGTTTACAACGAGGCATAGTGCTATATACACATTTTATATTTATATATATTCTTTTTTTTTATATGTAAACCAGCACATTCTCTCACTTTTTTAGTAGTATACATACTAAGCACAAATACTTATTCAGTTGTTTGTGTTTTTAAATAATTGTTTTAATAACTTCTCAATCAGTATGTATAGCACTAAAGTGTTTTTGTTAGATTTGGACATCAGTGAGCCTGGAGAAGGTAACGCTTCACTTTGCTGTTAATTTTTTTTTTTTAAACACTGAATAAGGCGCCTTTGTACTAAGTGTGCATTCCTAATAAAGTCAAAGGAGAATCGAGTGATGTAAACATTCAATTTGTTGTGTGTGTTACCAAGGAGTTGATTAGATAGGACGGGTAGAAGAGGGATTATTGGTTATAAAGCGGGAGGTTACCAGGGGTTTGGGGAAGACCCGAGGCCTAGAACCCACGAGACGGAAAGCGATAGTTTAGAGGGAGTCGGGCTGCAATTTATTGAAATTCTTAGGCGAGGAGAGGAGGAACGTGTCCCTGAATAAAAACTGAAAACCAGGAGACTCTTCTTCCCCCTTCGATCGAGGACCGAACAAACCCTAAAGCCAGCGTTCGACCCCTCCTCACCGACCTGCAAGCGCCAGCAGTGTCCGACTCAAACACGAGACAAAGACGAAACACTCAGAAACACACGGACACACGGTCGAGACTCCAAGTAACGGACACGCTTAAAATCGTTATGAGGCAAGCGGAGGAAAGAGTTAGAGAAAGAGAGACGGAGATTATTCCCCTTTTGAGCCATAGTATCAAAAGTCAAAGACAAACCCCGAAACGACCCATAAGTTAGGGACAGACAGAAGAACATTTCTGACAGAATGAACTCATAAAAGAAGATGGCCGAGAGCCTCCAGAAGATGGAGAAAGGGACGGATGGATGTGAGGTAGAGATCAGCTGATACCTCCCGGATGAGAAACCAGATTTTCGGCCGATTGTTTTTTTGTTTTTTATTTACAAGCCCGTCCCTCGCTCGCCCTTTGGTGCCACCATATTGGCAATATAGGTGTGGAGGCTCTCTCCCTTTTCACTGCTACTGGCTGCGTCAGGAAAGCGGTTCTAACCGGACTGCATTTCAAACGGTAACTTCCTGCAGACCGGACAACTTACTTTAAAGCACCAAAAAAACTCCACAATCTTTGGGCAGGCAGAAATGGGGAAAACTCGATGATTACATTCAAATTCTTGAATACATTCCAACAGATTCGTCTACTTCTTGTGATGATGATGTGGATTATATGGGGGGGGGGGGGGGGAAGTGGTCTTGATCCCCTTTAAACTTAGAAACCCAATGCACAATGCACTAATGTCACCAGGACATTAACAATAGTTGAATGACTGTAACGGAGGTTGGACTGGGAGGATCTGGACAAAGTGCAGCTGTGATGGATTCATAACAAAGTATGATATAAAGTATTCTATGGCTACCATCTTCATTTCCCCATTATTGTCCTGCTTGCTGCAGTCCAAATGTAAACAGTAAGTGTTGCATTGGCTGTGGGTGTCATTAGGCTGCATCCTTCAGAGGACACATGTTCAGTGGGACCCTATACAAGGTACATCAAGACCCCTCCAGATGTGGAAAAAACGTACCTGGAAGCAACCCATGAAACACCTGTCAAATTGTGTTTTCTAACTTGGGATTTGCTCAACAAATGCAGTAAATATTGCCTTTCCAATCCGTGGTTGCATGGGTTGGAATAAATATAAAGGTACATCTTTTTCCAGGTCATAGTCAGGGTCCTAATGTATGAAACGCCTACCAAACAGAGCCTGCAGCAGCCAGTAGCAGAAACCTAAAGCATGGCAGAGTTCGAGTCAAACAGGGAACGTGGAGGAGGCGTTTCCCTCCGTACAGTGCATAGATCAAATCAAGGAAGCACTACAATTACAAAAAAGAAAAAAAAACATGAGTTTCTTCTTCTTCATTTTAGATTTGTAAACTTGTATCAGTCATCAAATGATTACGTTAAATGTTTTTTTATATATTCTTTGTCCATAACACACACACAATAGATTTTAGAATTTATAACATCCACAATTCTTCGCTAAAACAAAGCAGGTTTTTTTTTGTTCTGGTTAACAGCCTGAAGCTGTAGCTGCAGCTTGCAGGTTGCAGCTTGCAGGTTGTAGGTTGCAGGTTGCAGGTTGCAGGTTGCAGGTTGCAGGTTGCAGGTTGCAGCTTGCAGCTTGCAGGTTGCAGGTTGCAGGTTGCAGGTTGCAGCTTGCAGCTTGCAGGTTGCAGCTTGCAGGTTGCAGGTTGCAGCTTGCAGCTTGCAGGTTGCAGCTTGCAGGTTGCAGCTTGCAGGTTGCAGGTTGCAGCTTGCAGGTTGCAGGTTGCAGCTTGCAGGTTGCAGGTTGCAGCTTGCAGCTTGCAGGTTGCAGCTTGCAGGTTGCAGCATGCAGCTTGCAGGTTGCAGGTTGCAGCATGCAGCTTGCAGGTTGCAGCTTGCAGGTTGCAGCTTGCAGGTTGCAGGTTGCAGCTTGCAGCTTGCAGGTTGCAGGTTGCAGGTTGCAGCTTGCAGGTTGCAGCTTGCAGGTTGCAGGTTGCAGCTTGCAGGTTGCAGGTTGCAGCTTGCAGGTTGCAGGTTGCAGGTTGCAGCTTGCAGCTTGCAGGTTGCAGCTTGCAGGTTGCAGCATGCAGCTTGCAGGTTGCAGGTTGCAGCATGCAGCTTGCAGGTTGCAGCTTGCAGGTTGCAGCTTGCAGGTTGCAGCTTCGCTACCCGTAACCGGAAAAGGGGAGGTTTTATCTTTTTTTATTACAAAACGAACAGAACGAATAACACGCACACGCAGAAACACACACACCACGACGACCAACGCAGGAATAGCAAGGTTTTGCTACAGAGGTCCTCTGAAGTCACCAACAGACGGTTATTTTCAGCAAACAGCTGTATCATTATCGTTCGTACTCGTTGTACTGTTGTAAGTCCTTTTGCTCTCCGGTGGATTCCTCGTTTTTAAGCAATATATCCTCCGGTGAAAGAAAAAAAAACAAAAAAAAAACAATGAAGTCCTTATCACTACTTTATTCCAATGGTAAAAATGTAAACATTTTGCGAGGTTGCCTTGCATGGGGGTACTAATGGGCCTTTCTGAGGGCCCTGTAGTAGAGGGTGTAGTTCACTAAGGCTGCCAGGAGGGGGCGCTGTCAGCGGTGCAAGGACTTCTGGGCCTCCTTCAGCAGAGTGTCAAAGTCCAGTGCATCGTACTTGCTCTTCACGGGGCCCGGGCCTGCCTCGTCTGCAACACACAGAAACAAAGATATGGTCAAATACAAGGAGTCAAAAAGTCCAAGGAGTCAAAGTCTAAGGGACCAAGTCTAAAGAGTCAAAGTCTAAGGAGTCTGAGTCAAAGTCTAAGGAGTCGGAGTCAAGGAGTCAAAGTCCAAGGAGTCAAAGTCTAAGGGACAAAGTCTAAAGAGTCAAAGTCTAAGGAGTCAAAGTCTGAGGGACCAAGTCTAAAGAGTCAAAGTCTAAGGAGTCTGAGTCAAAGTCTAAGGAGTCTGAGTCAAGGAGTCAAAGTCTAAGGGACCAAGTCTAAAGAGTCAAAGTCTAAGGAGTCTGAGTCAAGGGGAGTCAAGGAGTCAAAGTCAAGGAGTCAAAGTCTAAGGGACAAAGTCTAAAGAGTCAAAGTCTAAGGAGTCTGAGTCAAAGTCTAAGGAGTCAAAGTCTAAGGAGTCTGAGTCAAAGTCTAAGGAGTCAAAGTCTAAGGAGTCGGAGTCAAGGAGTCAAAGTCAAGGAGTCAAAGTCTAAGGGACAAAGTCTAAGGAGTCAACGTCTAAGGAGTCTGAGTCAAAGCCTAAGGAGTCAAAGTCTAAGGAGTCTGAGTCAAAGTCTAAGGAGTCAAAGTCTAAGGAGTCGGAGTCAAAGTCCAAGGAGTCAAAGTCCAAGGAGTCAAAGTCAAGGAGTCAAAGTCCAAGGAGTCAAAGCCAAGGAGTCAAAGTCCAAGGAGTCAAAGTCTAAAGAGTCAAAGTCAAGGAGTCAAAGTCCAAGTTGTGTTTTTGATATTTCTAACTTAATCGTGGTATTTGCTTAACCAACATCGTAAATATCGCCTTTTAAATCCATGTTTGCATTGGTTGTCACATTTCCAAGTTGATCAGTTCCAATCAATCTTTCTTGGGTACCACTTTACAAGAAGACCACCCTTATAAAGAGTTTACGAATAGTTTGGAATTCATTTATTAATTAGGTTGTGAACACTTTATAAATCATTAACAAGCTTTTACAAGACATGAGATAAACAGGGCGACTGTGACCGGTTGCTTGCCAAATAGTGAGCCCACATGTATCTGTACCTTTATATATACAGTCTATGATCTGTACTGCTAAGCCTTATATTGGCTACCTAGCTTACTTTGTCTTCTTCATCAGCCAGCATCCTTGGTGTCTGTTGCTCACTGACTTGATTCTCGCTAAGTAGCCAATATAAGGCTTAGTCATCTTGCCAAATAGTGAGCCTGTGTTGATGTATGAAAACTGGTTTATAAATGGCTCTTAATGATTAATAAAGTGTTTACAACCTAATTAATGACCTAATTATAAACCCTTTATGAATCCTTTATAAGGGTAGTCTTATTGTAAAATGGTACTCTTTCTTGAGTAGAAATTAGAATTTCACACAGGTCCAGTAAACTGGCACGATTCTTGACTTATCGGTATATACATCCGACAATATGTCCTGTTTTCTGATGGAAGAAAACCCAGTTAAGCTCTAGTTGAAGGAACTCCTAGAACTAGTTTCCCTCTGAAATGTTGCTCACAAATCCAAAATCTATCATGTGACAAAAAGGCCTAGCAACGAATAACTTAGAACACGACCATTTTACAGCGTGTATTCTAAATGATATATGTCTTATCTACTGTAGATACAGTATATAAAGTATTCATCTACCTATTGCAAACACATGCCGAGCCACAATACCATCAAGCTTTATTTCCACGCTGGTAGTTTGCAGTATAAGTGTCAGGGTGTGTTTATTACCAAGATCTATGTAGCGTTTCCTCGTCAGCAGCCTCACACCTGCAGGAGCGTTCTGGAAAACTGGCTCTCGTTCCCTCCACTGCTTCTGAACCCCCGCCTGACGGAGCTTTATCACCCCACAGCGCTCCCTGCAAACACACACACACACACACACACACACACACACACACACACACACACACACACACACACACACACACACACACACACACACACACACACACACACACACACACACACACACACACACACACACACACACACACACACACACACACACACACATTTAGATAAAGACAGTTTGCTTTGGAGAGGATGAAAGCGTACGTCCTGGCATCAGTAAAGATGGAGAACGCTCAATGAATCATATGCATCCTTTCATTCAACGCACACATTGAGAGGATAATTGGATTGAAATACAGAGGAAATGAATCCACATACGTCGCCTATTGGATCCAGTATGTCCCTGGACTGATGCCTGATTTGTATTTACTACATCAAGTCTATTTCAGCATTTTAAAGGATGCGTAAAAGGAAGAATGTCTGCAACAAAACAAGACACCATTTCTTTGTTTAAAAGTCATATTTAATTAATGTCTCTGGGGAAATTTGTCCTTTGTTATTGACCCTTTATCAGTGGGCAGAGACAGTACAAGTCCCAGGAGACGTGACTCGGTCAAGGGCAATAGCCCTTTCTTTTAAAAGAAGAACGATTGCGACTCATCCTTAAACCAACAGGTTGCCGGATTACTTCTGGGGATTGAGACCGGCATTGCTGATGAGTTGCTTTTTTTTACAGTTCATTTAAAAAGCTTAATTTTTCAAGCACTCAGTATAGGTAAGGCAGGTATATCAGGGTCTATGCAGGAATCCTGAAGTCACATGTAATTCCTTTTAAGATCTTTTTAAAGACCCTTTCCATACATTTTAAGACCTCATCGCCACTTGGAGTTCTAACCGGTTACCTTGGCGACACACTTTACCTCACATTGACTATATACAGTATTGATTGTCCTTCCTCCTTATCTTCCAACCATTTGAACGCAGACTTGCATTTCCCCATAACGATGTTTAACAACCGGCGTAAACGGACCTTCGCGCTATCAAGCAGTGAGCGTGCGATGTCCTGTTCAGATGACGTCAAACCCAACGGGATGCCATCAATAAACGACACAGAATCACACTACACACCTACGCAATGATTACATTCAGGCAGACTGTAGAATACAACCTCTCTGGACCATTCATATACTTATTGAAAACAAGATAATGTAAAACCTTGGAAAATGCTGTTTAATACTTTTTAATAGCCTTCATTTTCGATAAATTGATTCATCAACTTGTAATACTTTTTAAGACCCCGTGGACAAATATAGCACCTTTCAACACAAGGCATTTAAAAGTGCTTTACAGAAATGAAAGACATTAAGAGCATTAAGAGGAGACACATAATAAAATGGCCTTTAAAAACATCATTACAAAGCAAAGATAATAAAAAATAAAAGTTACAGTGCAGTGTGAGATATGAATAGCTATATAGCCTGGATTTAAAAGGACCTGCAGGTTTCTGGGAGTTTGTTCCAGATGTATGGAGCATAATAACTGAACTCCTCCATGTTTAGTTCTGGTTCTGGGGACAGAAAGCAGTCCCAGAAGACTTGAGAGTTCTGGATGGTTCCTCATTTAGCAGGAGATCAGAATAAACCATTCAGTGCTTTATAAACCAGCTGACTCCGACAGGAAGCCAGTGTAAAGACCTCAGAACTGGACTGCACGTTCTAAGTGTTAGCAGCGGCGTTCTGAATCAGCTGCAGCTTCCTATGTTTTAGTGAGACCTGTAAAGACACCATTGCAGTAATCCAGTCTGCTGAAGATAAAAGCATGGACACTTTTTTACAAATGCTGCTGTGACATTAGTCTTTTAATCCTCAATATATTCTCAAGGTGATAGTAGGCCGACTTGTTTTGTTATTTTTCATCATCTGAGCCAGTGGTAGTATGTAGATGTGAAAGAGAAGAGGCCCCAGGAGGGAGCCTTGAGGAACCCCACGTGTCATATTTGTCAACTTATATTAAAGTAGCCCAGTCTACTGAAGATAAAAGCACTCAGTCTAGTATGAGTTAATAACAATGGGACATCATCATGAGCACCACACCTCCCTCTGACTATAAAGGATGTATTTACAGAAGGAGGAATCAGGATCACACTCACTCGTTGCAGATGATGACTTTGCAGTCCTCGGGTTTTCCGAAAACCTGGAAGCGTTTCCGCAGCATGTTCTGGGTCACGCTGGTTGGCAGGTTGTGGATGTAGAACACCTGGCAGTTGTCCTGGAAACAGGGAAACCATGGCAACAGTCAGGGACATACATTAAAAAATAGGACAATGCAGAGCAGGAGGACAGACATGGGAAATGATTGCAGGACGGACAACACTTTACTTCCCCTCCCTGCTGCAGCATGCATCTGAATATCAGTTTGCATAAGCATGACCTAAAATCATGTTTGCATGCTTTGTGTCGTTTTAAAGTCTTAAGGCTACTGAGGAGCAGAGGTGTACAAGATCTGAGTACTTCTACTTTTACTACAAGTACAAGATCTGAGTACTTCTCCCATTCTGCTGAGTGTGTGAAGGTTTGTTTGTTCTCTGTACCTCGTCAGACTTGGCTTTGTTCCTCTGCTTGTCGTCGGGACAGATCTCCGAGTTCTCACTAAGAAGTGAACGAGAGAGAAAGAGAGGCGTTAGTGAGAAAAGGACAGAAGGTGAAGCTGAAATGTCAGACAGGAGGGAACAGGTGAACTGCGGCAAAATCTGACACTTCCTCCCTCTGACTGCAACACTGCAACACCTCTCACTGCTTCATCCCCTCCCTTTGTCTGCCAGGTACAGAAATCATACGAACACTGACCTGATTCTGTGGAAAGTCAACTCACTGTATCAAGGGCAGAATGAACACTGACCTGATTCACAGTACAGTCTTTGAAACATGTACAAGGTTTGGCTCAAGAACGATTTCTTACCCACTGAATGCATCACCTTCACTTCACTCTACATTCTCTCTGCACTTTGAATTGCCTTGTGTTGAAAGGTGCTATTTAAATAAACTTGCCTTGCCTTGCATACAGAGGTCTGGGCAAAAGAGCAGAGCAAATCTCAGGTATAAGTCAATATTGTTTAAAGTAAACACCATCAAAGGCGTTTGAAGTTGGTCGTGTTGCTGCAATGCTATCTTTTCCTGATCAGCGTTTGATGCTTTGACTTGTGGCGCATTTACAACCAAAGATGTCTGCATGTAGAGTAAAGCCTTTGTTTACTTGTCTCTATGAGTTGGTGCGTCGATATATAATATAAGACGTAGAGTTTAATCCATTCTGCAAACACACGGTTCTTCTAACTGGCCTTTGTTCACAGCTACAGACAGATTGTAGACCCTGTGTTGTGAGCAGTTGGCTTCCCATATGTGCCACAATATGCCAAGACAATTACACAAGAGTGGTTCTTGGATTAGAGTGTATAAAATGCCTGGTCTGGAAGTCAATGGTTTCTCAGAATGTGTTTTTGGTTGTTAGCCTGTCTGTGGTTAATACAAGCTGAAGAGATTTTAATGTTTTGTTCTACGACATAAAATAGGTCAGTAAATACCCCACTTGTGAATTTGCAAGTGTCTATGAGAGACCTGCCTCTCTCAGTTTGACATCTTCTTGACCCCTCCCTCCTCTTCCTCCACGGTACAAGTGTTTGTCCACAGCTTTAAAGTCAAAACTGCTCAACCAGTTGGAAATCTGCTCGAATGTGGTAGGTCTGTGAGAGACTGTATGAACCAGCCGACCGTAACAACATATCAACATCATCTCTAACTCCGACCAGTTCCTGAACAGAGGATATGAATCTTTATCAAAGCAGAGGAACAGGGTCCCACTTGACTGACTGAAGTACTCCTTTGTGCACGAGTTAATCCTCAAATGAAATACAGAGTTGCAGCTGAAACTGAGCATGCTTTCTCTTCAGTGATCGTCATGTTATGGTAAATGTCTATTCCTTGTATCGTGTCTTAATATGTGTCCTTGTTGAAGTTGAAAATGGAGCTGCTGTGATGCAAGAAACATGTTGATCTGACAATAAAGCATGTTATCGTGTTCTGTCTCACCTGGAGTCTGTCTTGCTGGCGGGGGAGTCGGGACACAGGTGCATTGTGGGTGATGGCGAGCGAGATGCAGACGATCTCTCCGCCTCCTCCTCGGACACCGGCGGCGTAGCGGTCGCCGACTGGCAGTGAGAGGGCGGCGGCAACGAAGAAATCACCAACTTCCTCGTCGTTTTGGTCGTGGTGGTCGTGATCTGCTGCTCCAGCAATTCTGCTATCTGTGACGCCACCATCACTTCCTCTCTCTCCCTCTCTCTCTCCCTCGACCCCTGATCGTCTACATTTTTCGGTGCTTTGCTACCATCCATTCCCCCACTTTGCGCCTGTAACATGGCGCCCAACATGTCGGCGCTGCGTTTCCTGCTCTCCCCGAGGCTCAGCGCGCAGTAGTCGTGATCTCCGAAGGTCCGGTAGGATTCGTTGGCGCCCGCCTGACCCATGCGCCGCAACTGGGCGTAAAGCTCCGTTTGTTCCAGAAGCTTCCGTGGAGGGTGAGCGCGAGAAAACCAGGACGAGGAAGCCTTCGTGGAAACGCCGACAACATCGCTGGGTTTTCCTGCCTCTGAAGGTTTGAAGAGCTCATCCTCCACTGGTTTGTGAGGCGGGGTGGTGGGAGGGGTGAGACCTGCGGAGGAGGTACAACATGAGTCAAATGATCATATAATCATTTAAAACAAACTGCATCCTGACAAGAAATAGTCCTGCACATAGGCTGTGTTTCACAGGTTTATATACAGATTTACTGAGCGATCATACGCAGAGAGCCGGTCATTAAGAACAACTGATTTGTTGATTTTGGCTGCAGCTGACGTTCAATTGTCCAGACTTCTTTCTGCGGATTGATATGACGCACATTA